CTTTGGGTTGTCTATTAACGTTGGACGTCTATTTTTACCTTCGTAATCTTATCGTCTAATTTAGATATCAACTCACTTGTTTTATCCACTTGAATAAGACGTTTCAAACTCGTTAACTCTTGTTGTAGTTTGGGTTCGTCCACAAGATTTTTAATATTTCGTCTGATGAATCTTTTCACGTCAGTTATTCTATTTTCAACATGGTCCTTATCTATTTGAATTGCGTTTATTTGATCCGGTAAATATTTCTTGTTCACGGCATCATTATCGTTTCCTGGAAACTTTAATTTAGTTATTTTGAAATTGTTCATATCGATATCCCCTTGTAAGGTGTCTCCGATTTGATCCACGAAAAAAGGTTTCGCTTTGTTTATAAACGTCGTCATGGGATTTTTAGATTCTAGAGGTAAAGACCCTAATCCAAACTTGTTTGCCATTTTTATTGAGTTAAATTTATTATAATTTCTTCAAACTTTTCTCCTAAACTCAACCGATATAAAACCCAAAGCGACAGCTGACCACACAGCTTTTGTCCTGGCATTTGAATTTGAAACGTAGAACATTTGATTGGTTTGCTAGTCATTTTCGTTATCTCTTCTGTCGGTTCTAGACCGAAAGAATCAAAGAAATAAAAGTTATTCGAAGAATCTTTGTGAAAAGCAGAGTGATGAACTCCTTTTTGATCCGACGTGTGAATGTTTGTGATGGCGTAAAATTTACCTTTCTTGTATTTCAGTTCATCAATTTCATCTCGCATGCAATAATAAAACGGCGAGACGTTCAACTCCTTGGCCCATTTCACAAGTTGAAAATTTGTGGTCGTGTCTTTTCCGTATTTATCGAGAAACGCATTCATTTTTTAAGTTGATTTTTTTTTAGGTGTTTTTCGAAGTAGGCGGAAAGTATTGCTGAAGACCCAATTGACGAAATATATACGTAGTTTGTGTTTGAAAAAACTTGTATAACATTCTGATAAAACACATTCAATAATATTTTGAAGATAAATTTACATTTAAATTTAAAAAATCTTAATTTAAGAGAGCGTAAATGCTTGTCGACATCTAAATTTCTTAACCTTTCATCTAAATCTTCATTTTCGAGATTCATTTTTAAAAGTCAGTTTTTTGAAGTTCATTTTGATAAAACCTTCCTATGATTTGTTCTTTGTCTTGATCGATCAATTCATACGTGGGAGGTGATGTGTTGTTTACATTATCAACGATGAATATCTCGTTAGTCCAATAGCCGACGTAACCTTTCTGAAACAATGATTTATATTTAAAAATACGAACTCGATCTCCAACTTTGAATTTGGGTTTAATATTCAAATTGCTAATCTCGTTTTCAAAGTTGTTTCGAGTGTTGACGGACTTTATGATATTCGGGTTATTAGAGGCTTGCGATGGCGTCACACCTATAGACGAATGTATTTTGTTATTGTATTCGTCGACAACAACTGGTAATATTTCAAG